AGGGAAGGAAAAAAAATCTAGCCCCCAAGCCCCAAGATATCTGGTGAAGTATAATTGATCAAAATTTATGTTCCTTTAAACAGAGCATCCACACGTAAGGGTATGATTCCCCACATGGACAGGGTGAAAAGAGAAAGAGAAGGAGGAGGAAGAAGAAGAGGAAGAGGGAGGAAATAGAAGCATTGCCCAACTGGAATTGGCCTTTTGGGTACCTAGTGGAGCAGCTATTAATACCTACATGTTGTTGTTCGTCCTCCATTCTAGAAGAGGACCAATGACATTCACCCATTAAGAAAGCTAAGGAAAGCAATATGATATCAATTATACATGTGAAATCATGCAAAATGTATTTCCACATTAGCCATGTTGAAAAAAAGAAAAAAAGGAAAAGAAAAGAAAAAATAAAAAGAAAGAAAAAGAAAGTGAAAATGTTATACTGCAATTTTCATTCAAAATTCATCAGTTCTCTCAGGAACTGGATAGCATTTTTCATCATGAGTCCTTTGGAATTGTCTTGGGTCATTATACTGATCATAGTAGCTAAATCTTTCACAGTTGATCCTCCTTACAATATTGCTGTTACTGTGTACTATGTTCTCGTGGTTCTGCTCGCTTTGCTTTACATCAGTTTATATAAGTCTTCCCAGGTTTTTCTGAAAGCATCCTGTTCATCATTTCTTAAAGCACAATAGTATTCCATTACAATCATATACCACAATCTGTTTAGTCATTCACTAATTGATGGGAATCCCCCCAGTTTCCAATTCCTTGCCATCACAAAAAGAGCTGCTAGAAATATTTTTGTACATATAGTCCTTTTCCCTTTTCTTTGATGTCTTCAGAATACAGGCCTAGTAGTAGTATGTATTGCTGGGCCAAAAGGTATGTACAGTTTTATAGCCCCTTGGGCAAAGTTCCAAATTGTTCTCCAGAATGGTTGCACTAGTTCACAGCTCCACCAATAGAGCATTAATATCCCAATTTTTCCACATCCCCTCAAACATTTGTCATTTTCCTTTTCTGTCATGTTATCTAATCTAATAGGTATGAGGTGGTAGTGCAGAATTGTTTTAATTTGCATTTCTTTAATTATTAGTGATTTAGAGCATTTTTAAATGGCCATTGATAGCTTTAATTTCGTCTTCTGAAAATTATCCATTCATATTTTTTGACCATTTATCAGTTGGAGAATGAATCTTATTTTTTAAATTTGACTCAGTTCCCTATAAAATTGAAAAAAAAGAGGCCTTTATCAGAGATACTTGCTGTAAAAGTTTCCCCCCAGTTTCCTGCTTTCCTTCTAATTTTGGCTGCATTGGTTTTGTTTGTGCAAAACCTTTTGAATTTCATGTAATCAAAACTATCAATTTTACTTCCCATGATCCTTTCCATCTCTTGTTTGGTCATAAACTCTTCCCTTATGTATAAATCCGACAGGTAAATTTTTCCATGTACCCCTAATTTGCTTATAACTACTTTTATGTCTAAATCATGTATCCATTTTGACCTTATCTTGGTATACAGTGTGAGATGTTGGCCTATCCCTAGTTTCTGCCAAACTGCCTCCTATTTTTCCCAGCAATTGTTGTCAAATAATGAGCTCTTGCTCCCAAAGCTTGGATCTTTGGGCTTATCAAACACTAGATTACAGTTATTTACTACTGTGCATTATATACCTAATTTATTCCACTGATCCACCACTCTTTTTCTTAGCCAATGCCAGGTTATTTTGATGATTACCACTTTGTAATATAATCTGAAATTTGGTACTGCTAGGTTGCCTTTCTCCACATTTTTCCCCCACTGATTCCTCTGATATTCTTGACTTTTTGTTCTTCTAGGTGAATTTTGTTTTGTTTTGTTTTTTAGCTTTGTGAAATAATTCTTTGGTAGTTTGATTGGTATGGTCCTAAATAAGTAAATTAATTTAGGTAAAATTATCACTTTTATCATATTGGCTTAGCCTATCTATGAGCAGTAAATATTTCTCCAGTTGTTTAGATCTGTCTTTATTTGCGTGAAAAGTGTTTTATAATTGTGTTCATATAGTTCCTGGGTTTGTCTTGGCAGGTAATAAATGCTTTTTAAATGACAGATAGATTCATGACTAGTCTAAGATTTAGATTTTTCCTTCCTTTGGAAAAGGTGTCTTCTCATCCTACCCCCACCAAGGATCTTAGTGGAAGCTTATTTTTAAATATATCCAGAAATACAAAAACTTATGCAAATAGACATTTTAGTAAGAAGAATAGGATCAGAGGATTAAAAGATTTAAGAGCCAGAAAGAACCATTGAGATCATTTAATCTAACATGGTTTTGCTTAACTCTGAGTTATATCATTTAGCGTTTGATCAAGTGAAAAAGTAGTCACTCCCACTGATGCCACTACTGCTAATACCCCAAGGACATTATGGATTTAATGGGGCTTGCCTTTACACATGCCCAGATCACCTGCCACAGAGGCACTCACATAGGAGATGCTAAGGACCTGCTTCTGGGAGATGATATTCTGTATTCCCCTACCACGTGGATGGAAACAGCCTCTTTCCAGCAGCTATATAGCTTGAACAAGCCACATCTTTAACTCTCTCTCTCTCTCCCTCTCTCTCTCTCTCTCTCTCTCTCTCTGTTTCTGTCTGTCTGTCTGGCTGTCTCTAGCATCCAGAAGTATGACTGCCCTGTTCATCCACAGCACAGGCGTCAAGAGCTGAGCTAGTTATGGGGAAGGGGAAGTCCCTTTTAGGCACTATGGCCCGAAGAGATGGGGTTTAGGCTTTGGTCTGGCCTGGCTTCATTTGTCCTTTTAGATGCAGTCAGCGAAGTCCTCAGACTCAGACTCAAGCCATGGTGACTTTGGAGGCAGGATGCCAGGCTGGATGTTGGTCCCAGTCAAGAAGGGAAGCCCTAAGAAGCCAGGGTGCCTAAGATTTGAGCCCAAGGAGGGCTTTGAATTTGATGAGACTATGCCATGTAGGAACTGAGTTAAACTGTGAACCTAATCTCCTTGCCTTCCCCAGTGACTGAATTGGTACAAGGAGGGAATTATGACCCCACTGTTTTTGGGGGCGGTATTATATGTTTGTTATTGACATAACGTGAAGTAAATGTTCCTTTGTAAAAGCTTATCTGCTAATTAGTTAAATGGAATGGGGCTGTAAATGATCCCTAAAATTGGGGGGCAGGACACAATCAGTGGGAGCTTGAGCCAATGGCAAAGAGATTAGACACCCCAAAACTCCTTTAGTATGGTAAAACCCTGGGGTAGGGGGCAAATGTAACATACCTGGCCCTCAGGCCAGGGTAGAAACTGTGACATGGAAAATAAGGAGAAAGCTGTTGGTATGGAAATACTCATAGGCAGCATTGTTTGTGTAAGGGAGGTTGCTAAAGAAGGCTTTGATCAATTTGATGAGATCCTCAGTGAGGTGGTAAGATGATGGAGTGTGGGCCTTTGTCTGGAAGCATCTGAAGAGTGTCACTTTCTCCCTGGAATTCAAGCATTCTAGCAAAAGTTGGGGTGAGAAACCATATGATCACTGACTGAGAGGTGGTTGAACAAAGAATGGCATATAGATATAATGGAATGCTCCTGCTCCTTCAAAGAATGGTGAAAATAGAGAATCTCAAGAAATGTGTTTCCCACTGGTGAAAAAGAAAGGCCATGTGTATATATATTTTTGTTAAATAACCAATTTTTGGAAGAAGGGGTGGGGTGGGGGTGTTTTGGAACCTTCCCATTTCCTCATTCTCTACTAGATCAAGCCAGCATTTGAAGGACTTTGCTTATAAAGAGATTAGATTAACTTTCTCCTCCATCTAGTTCAGACCCCACCCAAGTGGGGCCCATTGTGCTCTATTCAGGCTTGAGGGCAAGGAGGGGGAATCCTTTGTCTAGATTGACTAAGGTTGGGGGGGTGGTCTGAGAGTAAGAGGTAATCAGTCATGTCCTCTAGCCCCTCATTAATAGATCTATCTCTCATTATAATATTCATTCTCTCATTAATTGTAACCAATCAGAGTTGATTGCCATCTGTCGAGAACACCCACTCTTCCAAGAGCATCAAGAAGCTGCCATGATCTGTTTTTTGTTTAGGAGAGACAACCAAATAACCCTTTTATTAATTATCTGCCAGCAATAATTAGTAAAATGATTAATTACCCAGATACTATGTCTCTTGAACTTCTTATATGTCACAACGAATTAGTTTATGCATTGCCCAATGTTTGTGATCTGAATTTTGAATTTGAAGCTCTTTTATTTTATTTTTGTGAGGAAATGGGGGTTAAGTGACTTACCCAGAGTCACACACCTAGGGAATGTTATATGTCTGAGGCTGGATTTGAACTCAGGCCCTCCTGACTCCAGGGTTGGTGCTCTATCCACTGCACCATCTAGCTGCCCCATTTAAAGCTCTTCTAAAAAAAATATGAGTGTAGTAATTGTGTTTAGTGTTACCATAGTTGTGTTTCATATAACTCTCCCCATATTACCTCGAATTCATTGTCCACACCCCCTTACTCTTATCAATCAGTTGGGGGAACTCATCAAATTAGTCAAGGGCTCCTGATTATTCTCCCCCCCAACCCTCCTACACAAACAGTACTGCTATGAATATTTTCATACAGGTGGGTCTCTTTGAGGTATTAACCCAATAGTGGCATCAGTGGAAGGAACCACTTTTTATCACCTGATCAAACACTGAGCAGGGTTTAGAGTCAAGTAAAGCTGTGACTATCAGATTAGATAATCTCCAAGGTTCCTTCCCGACTCTTAAATCCTTTGATCCCTGGATCCTATTTTTACCAAAATGCGGGCCTTCATACATTGTTTGTATTTCTGGATGTATTTAAGAATAAGCTTCAGCTAAGACTGTTGGTGGGAGTGCAGTGGGGACATGGCTTTTCAAAAGAAGGGAGGAAATCCCAGGTTTAGAATAACTGTGAGATAGTCAATTAAAGGATTTTCATTAATTGCCACTGACTTCATCATTGTCTCCAGAAACTCATCTCTTGGAGGATCATTTCGATTCTGAAACTCACAACACTTCAGGACCCTCTGCTTTTTGGGACACTCTGATTGGAGGTAAGTAGTAGTGAATGAATAATTGGAGAGGAATTGATCTTCTTTGTAAGGAGGGGGCCCAAGGGAGCCATTTCATCATTCCCCACTTGACCATAGACTTTATCATGTCCCTGTGTGAGGTATCCTGTTCCTCTTCCTGCTACCTCTGTCTTCCCCTATTAGACTGGGAGCTCCTTGAGGGCAGGGACTTTTTTTTTTAATCTTTCTTTGTGTCCCCAGTACTTGACAAAGTGCCGTGCATGTAGTTGGCACTTAATAAATGTTGATGAACTGACTACTAGGGACTATATTAAAGAAAGGGACACAAAGAAAAAATGAAACAGTCCTTGCCCTCAAGGAGCTTACATTCTGTAGAAGGAGAAAACAATCACAACATGAATACATAGAGGTATATCCAAAATAAATGGCTCCAGAAATGGAGACTGGATTTAGAGTGTTCCTTCCTATTTGTGTTACTTTAGGCAAGTCATTTCATCTCCATGGCTTCTTTGATCTTTCTACTTTCCACTGTGCTATCCTGTCTTTGGACATGAAACCCTCTTTACCAATTTGTTTCTTGACTGTTGCCTACAGACTTACTCAGGACTTCTCTATGCTTAAAAAAAAGGTCTCATTTGAGAGCCTTCTGCCTCTTTCATCTATTTTCTTATCTCTCTCCTCCCTTCCTCAACTGCATTTCTAGAGGGAAAAAAATCTATACTTCTTTCCTTGATTTTCCAACCTCCAAATGCCTTCTTGACCCTTTGCGATATGGTTTCCAAATACCACCACTCAACAGAAACTGTTTTTTCCAAGGTTACCACTAATGTCTTAATGTTCAATGCTTCATCTTCCTCCTGAAACTTCCCTCAGCTCCTAGAGCCTTCTCACCCTGCAGTATCTCTCCTTTGTGCCAAACTCTTCTCCCATGGGTGAGTTCTTTTCCTGCTTTCCATTTTGGGTGATGGGTCCAGCCAGCCATGTTTCATTCCCCTCTTGACTGTGCTGATACTAAAGACTTTGTCATCCTGTCTCTGTGTCCCCTATCCTCACTCCTTTCCAGCTCCCCTATAGGTGTTGTAATGTAAGCTCCTTGAGGACAGACACTGTCCCTTTTTTGCTTGTACTTACACCCCCAGCACTTGGCACAGTGCCTGGCAAAAAGTAAATACTTAAAAAATGTTTGTTGCCTTGCCTGCATGGAGCTCAGTTGTATGTAGTCCCATTAATAGAACCCCAAATTTAGAGCTAGAAGGGACCTTAAAGACCATCTAGTCTAATCTCATTTTACAGAGGAGGAAACTGAGGCTTAGATGAACCAAGTGATTTTTGCCCAAGGTCACCCCCATAGTAAATGACAAACTAAGATCTTTGGATTCCAAATTTTGTGCTCTTTTCATTGTACCATAGTCATAATCACTCTTTATGCTATTTTCTTAAATTGCTTTCAGCATCCACACACTGTGGGGAATTCATCTGTGTATACATACAATGGGATTTTGTAGGTATTGAAACAAAATTTATTTTTTAAAGAAGTATGAGTCTAAAAAAAAAATTGGTAACTCATAGACTTCAGTGCTGAGTTAATTAAACTTGGTTTACTGGGTATCCCAAACACCAGAGACAGATTTGGTGCTAAATATAACACAGTCAACTTGGATTACAAAAACAGTCATCAGATTTACCTAGATCTGGCTCTATTCACCATAAACTCTACCACAGTGAATTGGGTCATAAACACAGCTTGTATTACAAAAGGCACCCAGTTCTGGGCATCTCACCAGGACCTTTTCTGTGTTCTTTGTGTTTTGTGTTTTTGTTTATTTTTTAACTTTATCTCCTACTAGGCTCGGTACTAACATAACTGAAACTTTATTCTATTTTTCACAGACTTCTTTAGGTCTATTCTTGTTTATCTTCTACCATCTGTAAAAAAGTAGGCCCTTCTAAATAAAATTCCTTTAGTAGGTGGTAGCCGTTCCTATGAACCTTGGAGGATGGAGCAGGAAGCAGTTAAGTTGCCCTTGAATTTTTTTTTAAATTATATCAGTGTTTCCTTTTAAAATTAACTACCATTCTCTTAATATCTCTACTCTTTCCCCTGACGTCCACACCTTATCCTTCTCCTCCCCCAATCTCCTATAGCATACTACGCTATTGCCAAGCCTATATTCCTGACACATTATCCCATATCAGCCCTTTCCCAGGACCTTTGAACGGCAGTCCACCGATTTCCTGCCTAAAGTCAGGGTGCTCTTCACCTGGGAGCTCCCATCCCGTTATTTTAACCTGACTCACTTGCCGGTTCTCCATTCCCCCTACAGATGCCCCTGGTCCCTTCGCTCATTCTGATCTTCCTTGTCAAGTGACTTTTATTAAATGTCCTCTAAGTGGCTAAGACTCTTTGCCAGCTCTTCACTTCCTTTTGGCAGACATGACTCCTAAAATTAACTCAATTTTATCACTCATCAGTTCACTCTCATACTTGCCAAGCCAGGAGTCAGGGCTGTTAAGGAATCGGGGACCTGGTTTTTGCATTAACCTGGTGTGTGGGCAACTCACAGCTTCTGTAGAGCACCATTTCTTACTCTATAAAATGAGGAGATTGGATTAGCTGGTTTTTAAGGGCCCTTCCAGAACTTAATTCCTATAATCCTCTGATGGGCTACCCTTTCCACTAGACACACTTTTGTAATAGAATTTTTTTTCCTTTCTTTTTAAAAACTGAAGGCTAATTTATGCCTTTTCTTTTTAAATGTCATTTCTGGATGTATCCTACCCATCCTGTGAGTCATTCCTTGTTACAAAGACAAACAATTAAGCAAAACTGACAGGTTGGTCTTGTTTGATGGCATATGCGATGTTCTGCACCCATGGCCCTCCACCTCTCTAGGGAAAGGAGGCAGTTTCATTACTTAATCTCTGTTCTGGGGCCCAAACTGGTCAATTATGTAACCAATTACACGACCAGTGGTGTTTGACATCATTTCGGTGTGCTTTTTACTTACATTATTGTAGTCATGTATGAGGTTTCCCTGATTATCAATCATATTAATATGATGTTAATATTAATCTGTTTGCAGAAGCCTTCCAGCTTTCTCTGAATTCTTTGTATTAGTTTATTTTTCTTATAGCTCAATAATGTTCCATTACACTGACGGTGAACCTAGAGAGCCGGCCTCAGAGCCAGAAGACCCGAGTTCAAATGCTGACGTTGATATAGATTATTCTGAGCAAGTTCCCTCTAGGTAGCTTTCCAAAACTTTAAGTTCATTCATTCAATAAACATCTATCAAGCACTTACTATGTGCCAGACACTGTGCTAAGTACAAAGTTGCAGACAAGGTGACAACTTCATTTCCTTATCTGAAAACTCCCTCTATCAGTGAAATTGCAGGTCCACTAGCTGCTGGCTACATTTATGTGCTTTGAAGTGTGTTTTCACAGGTAGTAGGGCTGCTCCATTGATCTCTTTGACTGGTTTTGATGCCTGAAATCCTACCATTAGAAATTTAATTTATTTGGGTTCCAAAGAAATTTAGGTCTTCAGTAGTCCTCAGTTAAAATACAAATACCTACAAGGGGTTATCCCCAGGGTCTTATTTGCTAACACTTCACTGAGGAAATTGATCAATGGCTGAAAGCAAAACGGGGAATGGGAGGGAAGGGAGTCCAGACAAGGAGACAGAAGGACCAAAATGGAACTTACGGAGACGATAAAGCCGAACTTATACTTTATAATTTTGTCCAGGGGAGGTCCCACCTAAGGAAGTCACAAGGGAATTGCAGGAATTACAGAGACCAGATCTAATCAATGGCCTTCTTCCAAGAGCTTGTCATGATCAATGATCACTTGGTTGCCCTTCATCCCCTATTAAGGCTTTACTACTGCCCACCTTTCTCTGCCTGTCACCTCTTGTCATTACTTCACTGTCCCAACCTTAGGCAAATAGCGCAGGTAAGAGCAATGATGATTTATTTTCAAAGGCATCTAATTGTTCTAATGTTGTTTTTTTGTTTTTGTCTTTTTTTTTGGTAAAGGGGAGAAATGCCTAGTATTAGGGCTCTCTAAGCTACTCTCTAGTTTTGAATTCCATGATAGGTCCAGAGGTGGGGGAGAGAGGGAAGGCTATCATCAGAAACATGGTGTGAGTGATTAGGAATTGAGAATATTTGGTGTAGAGGATTTCCTTAATGTCATAAAAAGTAGGTGAAGGGGGTGTAAAGAGTGGGTGACTTGGAGCAGCTAGGTAGAGCAGTGTATAGAGCCCCGGGCTTGGAGTCAGGAGGACCTGAGTTCAAATCCGGCCTCAGACCAGTCACTTGACACTTACTAGCTGTGTGACCCTGGGCAAGTGACTTAACCCCAATTACCTCACCAAAAACAACAACAACAACAAAAAAAGAATGAATGACTTGAGTCTGCTATGAAGACCTAAGAGTCCAGTCCAATTATTCTGATCATGAGCTGATATTTACATGTTTGGAGTCCATTGGTGGCTAGAGATGAAGTTAAGTATTCAGTTAGCTAAATGATTACCCCAGGAATGAGGGGCAGGGTGTGTGTGGAGGGACAGGGAAGAACCACAAACTTGACTTAGCACCTAGAGGTTTCTATTTGCCTGAGAATGAGCCAATGTCAAAATCAGTTTGAATATATTCTGAAAGGACTGAGTTAGAGTTTGAAAGTACTTCAGAGACCATCTAGTTCACTCCTCCCTCTTTTTACAGATGAGGCTATGATCCAAAGAAACAGAAGGAGCACTAGGTCTGGGATCAAGAAGACATAAATTCAGGGGGCAGCTAGGTGGTGCAGTGAATAGAGCACTGGCCCTGAAGTCAGGAGGACCTGAGTTCAAATCCGGCCTCAGACCAACCTGGGCAAGTCTCTTAACCCCAGTTGCCTTAAAAAAAAAAGAAGAAGAAGAAGGCATGAGTTCAAATTCAGCCTCAGAATAATTGTGTGACCCTGGGCAAGTCATTTCACTTCCATTTGCCTTAGTTTCCTCAACTGTACAATG